GTCTGACATCCGGTTCATGATATTTAAGATGTCAAAAGAATCTCGATTACTTTTTCATATTTGTCAATTAATTGTCAATTTAATAACAAAATTCTTAAGTTAATTAACCTTTCATACAAAAAGACTATTAATAATACAAAGAATCTATATTAATTCTAATATTACATAATATAAAAGTCTGACATCCGGTTCATGATATTTAAGATGTCAAAAGAATCTCGATTACTTTTTCATATTTGTCAATTAATTGTCAATTTAATAACAAAATTCTTAAGTTAATTAACCTTTCATACAAAAAGACTAAATGTGATTTACAGTTATATTTCAATAATTTTGTTACAGAGAAATAATTAATTTTGCTTAAATTTGATAAATTGTTATTATTAATATTTGTGTTCCTGTTAGTTTTAATTCTTTTTTGTTATATGTAAAAGATATTATAATTTCAAGTACTATATAATTATACTTGTATCTGTTAAATTAAAAGATTTGTAATACCAGTAACATACAAATTTAGTTTTTATATAGAGCACTTAGTAGAAATGTATTTATATTTGATTACATTACAAGAATTAATAAGTCAATTCTTATAACATTGACATCGTATATGATATATAAAAAGTTAAAATAGTAAACATAAGGAATGATAACCTTTAGGCAATCATATTATCTCTTATAAGTCACATATCTTTTATTTCAAACAATAATACAATTGAAAGGAGTCTATCATTGAAATTATTTGTATCATAATACAGTAATATTATATTTTGTGATTTAAAAAATATTCTGTGTATTTGCATGCATTAAAAAGTTATTATCCGTAAAAGCTTTCCTGAGTAAAAGTAGAGAATACCTGACATATAGTCTAAAAGCATTTCTCTTAACTTTATACGATAGGCGCTCATTGGGATAGTCGATATTAATCGATACCTGTTCATTTCAATAATATACTACGTGCTAAAGGTTATAATATGGACTATCGATAATTTTCCTAATGAGCGCCTATCGTATAAAGTTAAGAGATTTATGTATGATTTTATTGATTGTATTGAACTCAAAATTCAGACAAATATATTTATATCTGGTTTTACTAAAACACAACAAAACCTAAAAGTTATTAATATTTAATTAAGTTTAGGAACATAACCAAACAAATAAATGTTATTTTGTATAAAAACAAATAAATTATTATAAATTATAAATATAAAATTAAAGTTGGATATACACTGTAAAGTTTGCTTTTGCTTTAAAAATCATATTTTAAATAATTTAACTTTATTGTTAACTATAAGTTAACATTTCCAACAAATAATGTTCTCATTTTGATTATTTATAAACTTAAAATATAATTCATAGATATAATTAATATAGCTATTTTAATATTATTACTAATTACAACATTTTATTATAAAAACTAAATATTTCTATTCTATTTAAAATAAAAGTAAAATTTACCTCAAATTTTTGAAAATTATAATTTTCATTTAATATGTTTATAGAGATTATATTTTAAGAACCATTAAATCTTAATATAAACAACTTTATAGTTAATATTTGTTTTATAAATTGTTCACAGTAAATTGTTAACAAGAACATTAAACTAAAATTATAAAAATAAACATAATAAAACTATTAAACAACTTATAAATTTAAAACTGTGATAATAATCATAATCTATCATATTCAGACATGTAATTATAACATTATTGTCCATATAAGAACATACACGTTGATAATATTTAAATGTAAACTAATTAATACAACTTTAATTTTAATTATATTGTTTATATCTGAAATAAATTATAAAAATTATTTTAGCAAAGTCATTTACTTATAGCCAATTTAAATTCAGTTCTATTTCTGTTACAAAAAAGAGTTTCATATTTTGGGAACAATCAAAAGATGAACAAATTATTTTACAACAAATAACATAATTTCTTAGCAGAGTAGTTTAAATAATAACGATTTACAAATGGAGTAATGAGATCATTCATGGCTCATATAAATTCATAATAATTTTGGAGATATCGCTGATTTTGTTGGTTTTGTCGCTACTCTTTGACCAGTAGTTCCTTCGATACCGAATGCCTTCTTCAGAGCGCAGACAGTCTTCGTAGAGCTTTAGGACTCCACCCATCGCTACACTACTCTTCGCCGCAACATTTCGCAGATTTCCTGACATTTCAATTCAAATACAATACATATTTAATAGTTTTATTTTTGTACAATTCTAAGATATATTAATACCAAGAATAAAGTTATTAATAAATATCTTACCTTAAATACGTATAAGTTTGTTATTAGTAAATAATTTTTAAAAATTTTAACAATTATTGCTATTCATAGACTTAATTTTACGATTTTATTAACTTATATAATAAATTGGATAAAAATCAATCTAAAGAATAAAAACATTTTCATTGCATTACTAAACAGTATTTATATAAAATATAAATAATAGCTTTTCTATCATATTGATTTTGGTTATATTGTTAGTTAAATACAATAATTATTAATAGAATTTTGTATAGATACAAATGAATTTATACCAAATATTTAAATATAATATAAGTATGTTTTGTTTACTTGATATTTTATACTTAATAATATTGGCATTTTAATTGTTTTACTAATCAAAATTTTTACAACTATTTAAATTAAGTAACATTTAAGAATGAAATTGAAAACAATTAATTTAAATAATGTACACTGAATACATATTAATTAACAACATATTGGATATGAATTGATAAGTTAAGTGATTTAAGTAATATATACCTCCCTCTCCTCCAACGGCATTCCACAATGAAATGCAGTCTTCCTTTGATGGCAACGGTTTTTGAGCTGAAATTAATGATAACCAACAGAATAATAATAATATAGATTTTATAATCACCGAAATCATCGTTAAAACAACTGTGTATTTAGCGCTAAAATAAAGTAGTAAATAATTATTTAGCTCTTTTATCACAAGTTCAGTAAATATTAAGTAATATCAACTAGCACAGTATCCAAATATTGATGTAACTTGGATTTTAAAACTATGAATTTGATTGAAAATCTTTGATTTATATACCTTTTGGTAGTTTATTTAAATGTGTTTCGGTAGTCGACTCAAAGAAACTAATTTCGGATTCTATGTAATATTCTTTGAACATATATATCAATAGCCGATTCTTTTGATTAGTATTCATAGGATGATTGGATCAGAATTATCAAATTCTAGTTATTTTTTATAAAAATTTTTCTCAGTATAAATTTTAGTAAGAGATATTTATGAATTAGGCTACTTTAAATAATTATAACTTCTTATTTTTAATTAATATAATAAAGTTCTTCATAGAAAACTTAATTTTAACATAAATATGAATTTAAAAATTACAATATGAGTGTTTCACTAATAAGTTAACATAACCGGTGTTTTCCTGTAAATATGCGTCAATTGATATAAATCTATGAATAGATAAAATTGTTTTCAAATATGATTATAATAAGAAACTATTCCCAGATTATAAGCAAAATCTTATAACTACAAATAAATGCAAATTGTTTATGGATTTTATGATCAATGTTTAAGTCTATAACTTTTCATGTTAAGGCAAATAGGCTATAAATATATAATATTATATTTTGTTTACATAGCTTGAAAATATTGCAATTAATTTTCAAATTAGCAATAACATTCAAAAAAAACATTTTCAAAATATATTATAATAGAACAAAATGTTACGGTATGAAAATACATAATTAAAATAAACAAAACTATTTTTTAGAAAGGTTATATCTCAAAATTTTTTATGATGGGTTTACTTTTTGGAAAATTTAATGCAATTATTATATAACTTGTTTTAGAATTTCATTTGAATTATTGCAGAGAAATTAAATTAAAGTTTTACTTTGAAGTGCAAAACAAATTTCACTTTCAAATGTTATAACATTCACCAAAAGATGTCTTAATAAATAAAACTTTATTTTCAAATGAAGACTCGTTTTATTGATAGTTGCAACATATTATGTCACAAATTATTATTATTATATCATTGGGATTTGCCAACAAATTTGCCAAACTATCTAAAATCAATCTGTATATATAATATAATATTATGACACGAAATAATGTTTGTTAGAAATATGTTCATGTAGATTTTAAAAATCTCATTATTTTAAGAATATTATATTTTAGTAAAATCTATTACTGTATTAGCTTATGTTCATTTAATTTGGTTTGTTTTAATATTTTAAAATTAGTACTTCACTAATGTTACAATATTAATTAAAATGCATTATAATAACATGTATTAAAAGTGTTCTTAAATAAATAAATGCTCCATAAATAATAACTTATAAATAATAAATTTTTAAATAAATAAAAGCTAATTTAGTATAAAATTATTATATTATTTCATTATATTTCATTATACTATAGTTAATTATTTAATCTAAATAAAAATTCACTACGTAACAAAAACTTCTAAGTATAGTAATTAATGAATTGAAATTTTAAATTTAATTTCTTATGTATCGATGCTATATAAAAATGTCATCTTTAAATCAATTATCAAATTGCAAACAAATAATATGTTGTAACAAATTGTTGGATGAATGCCTACATTACTGATTTATAGTTTGCTAATTGAATACAATGTTTCACATTGTCTTCTCTCACTTGCTATTCAATATACAGTAACTGTTTTGTCAAACTTGCGTTATATTTAAAGTCTAAATTCAAAATGAATTATAATAGCTTTCTGGTGGATATGAATACCATATGAATATTATAGTTAACTTGCACAATCTGTTTATGAATTTATAATATTTTTATATTTTGTATGTGTTTTTATGAATGTTTAAATATCATAATGAATTTTAAAAACTGTAGTAATATTTCATAATTAGTTTTAGTCATACTATAGATGAAATTAAATATCACACAGCCATTATTATATGAACATTACAACTTATGTTAAAAAATGTATTCTTGTGAATGAAATATTTAAATATTTAGATACTTTATTTGCTTTGAATGACAAATAATATACCAAAACAAACAACTTGCATGACTAAAAATAATTTGTCGTTTGTGTTTAAACTTATTTTATTTTCCTAACGTAATTAAATTGAGTCCATTTTTTGTTTTTACTCTTTTCCCGTATTTTACGACAATTTTTAGATTGAATTTAGTTTTAAATGTTTGTGAAAACTCTTATACGAATTTAGATTTTTATTATTTTTTGCTTATTTTTTGCATGAATAAGTTGCCGTCTTTTAAAAACATCTTTTAACAAAAATATTTTCAAATGAAAGTATGTCTCCCGTAATGTTGATTAGCATTTGTAGATCGGATGTTAGGCTCAAAGCGTTGGTGTTTTTTGTTGGAGTCATACAAAACAGCAATTTTGTTGATTTACTTAACTCGATCCAAACCTAATATTAACTATATTACAGACATTTCATAATATTTATAGAAAACAAACAACATTATTCTATATTTATATATCAAATATAATATATAGTAAGATATATTATTACAGTATATTTGTAATTTGCTATAAATTGAAAATGAAAACATCAAATTTGTATTACACAAATGTTACTTATAAAAACTAATACGGTAATTAATGAAGTTTAAACATTTTCCGATTCGGGTATTTCTAAACATTTACAAATTTAATTAATGTTGTGATTAATTTAGTGTTAAATTTTAACAAAACAACTATTAAATCAAAAGCTAAATAAATAAAAACATTAAATAAAATATATTAAACAAATATACGAATGATCAATGTTTGGAATATCAATTAAATGTTGCTTTATTATAAAAACTCTCATTTAATTAATATTCAAAACATTTTTATTGCCTTTAGATTAAATTTAGTCTTTCTAATGTGTTCTCAAAAATATATATAAAGATACTACAGTATATGTATACAGTATGTATAATATGAAATTTTTATTACTCCTTTATAATACTATTCTATAATTATATTTCTATAATTTTGTAATTTATTTAATAAACTTTAATTCTGTTAATTTGTAATAAGCTTAATAGTGTTTTGTGACATTTGTTAAAAGAACAGCAAATTAGTATAAAAACATGTAGAAAATCATAATAAAGAGGCAGTACATTGAAAGTTATATCATGAATATTCTATACATTATATAACGGTTGGTGTGGGTTGTTATGTGATGGTCTCAAAATAGTTTATAAAGCCTATGAGTGCTTAGTGCGAGAGAGAGAGAGAGAGTGAGAGAGAGGGAGAGAGAGGGAGGGAGGGAGAGAGAGTGAGAGAGAGAGAGAGAGAGAGAGCTATTCTGCTGTTGTATTCTTTTTATATCGTTTACTAAATTTGGTTCTATAGACGAAAGACTCGATGAATGCCTCAACGCTTTTGTCAAAACACATACAGAATTCAAGCAAATCATTAAAACAACAATTTGTTCCCAAGTTTTTCGCCTCACGAGTAGTCTTCCACTCGTTGTCAAAGTCTCGTCTTAACTCAACTCAAGCTTTTTTCGTAGAGTTTTTCTCAAATATTAATCCAATGCAAGAAATAGGCTTTTCATCCCATATTCCCATATAAACAACAAATTCTTTCATATATTATGTCTTTAGAGTAAAGAATAAAGAAAATAGAGGAGAGAAAGAGGAAATACTGTTTAATGATTAGCATATATTATGTATTCAAATCCCAATCAAATCATTTTGGTAAATCCGTTTTTATTCACTCATGCATTTACTTTGCATTAAATAAATATTAATACAAAAAAGTATATTATATAAGATTACAATTTTTTTAAATACTATAGAATCTGTAGTATAGATGTATTAAATAAATATTTTTATTAAGTATTCCAAAAGAATTTGATTTTTGAATATCAAGCTATGATATTATAAAAAGGATAACAAGTTTTGGTATTATGTTGTTTGGTCTAAATCTCAGTTATCTCTATACTCTCTCCCTCTCACACTCACACTCACACTCACACTCACACTCACACTCACACTCACACTCACACTCACATCCCTCTCATCATTAGTCTGTTTTTTGACAAAACTTTGAATTTACGTCATTTACATTAGAATTCACGAAAACTTTGTAATTATAGATAAGTTAATATCGTTGTGCGGATCAGCCAACCAGAGCACCAGTTGCCTTATATTTGGAAACTTTAGGTATGGCCTAATCTCTCGACTCAGCGCTAACTCTAACAGATTCACAGAATTTGATTCATTTTCAACTAAAATGATGTGTTCATTCAAATTATACTGACAAACTTTTTATAAGTTTTTATATTAATATAATTTAAATTTTAATTAAAATTTTCTATAAAATATACTTTTAGATCTCATTTTAACAAACCTTTGATCCAACAGTTATGGCATCAAAAATGAAGTAAGTTTTAAAACTTTTATTTTGTTTTTAGTTTAATATTTGTAAATTTTAAATAAATTTATTAATCATTTAAATTTGTTTTTAATTTAGAGAAATGGATATTTTTGGATTAGGAAATCCATTGCTGGACATCACGGCTACAGTTGATGACGACTTTCTAAATAAGTATTATGTGTTTTCATGTTTGAAACAATTTTTCTTAATTTCTGTAACTATTTTTCTTTATTAATACTATTTTCAGTTTTAAATTATAAATTTAAAATACTCTCATAAAATATATTCCGAGATTTTGTGCATTTATTATTCATATAATCATACTCTAAATGAATTTCATAGTAAAGTATGCAGCACTAAACATTTTAGATGTCTACCATTAGATATTTAATATAACTAAATACTTTATATTTTATTTATATAAATTCTTTTAAAGAATTTGTAAGAACAACTTTATTTTGACTTAAAAAATATTTTTCAATATATTGAATAGTAAGCAAAAATTCCGTGAATTACATAAACAACTCAATACTTAAATAAACAATATTCACTAGTATTGTATAGTGTAGTATTACCGTAGTAAATAGTATACAGTACTAGTAATAGTGTACTATGTCAATTCTATAATAAATTTCACTATTAAATATAATTGAATTTGTATAATTTTAATTAATATTTAACAACATTTTAGATATAGTTTGCCGAAAAACAGTGCCATTTTAGCCGAACCCCAACACGAGGCTATGTATGAGGAGGTGATCAATAAGTTTGAGATCGAGTACAGTGCGGGCGGTGCCACTCAGAACACCATGAGATACTGCCAGTGGGTGGTCGGCAAGAATAACCAGGTGACCACTTTTTGTGGGGCAGTTGGCAACGACTACTTCGGCAAAATCATGGAGAAAAAGGCAAAGACTGACGGCGTGAACGTCAAGTATTTGGTGGTTGAAGAACAGAAGAACACCGGCACCTGTGCTATACTACTGACCGATGGCGGACAGAGCCGTGCTATGTGTGCCTATTTGGGTATGTCTTACGTCTCCCACAACTCATTATCTCAATGTTTCCTTCATTTGTTTTCCATCTCTTTATTTGTTTTGTTACGACATTTCATTGTCTTAATTGTTAGTGTTTTGAGAACTTTTTGCATTCAATTCAAAGCGAGTCATCAATTAATTTGATTGAAATCCTAAATAAACACCACATAGTCTTATATTATTCAGTCTATCCGTTTAGTCAATTACTTAGAATTACGTTAATTAAATTTTTTGTAAATTATTTTACAAAATCCATCTTAATAATAATTTCTTAAACATTTTTTATAATGTAGTTTACGATATTCAAACACATTATTATTAGAGTTACTGTTTAGTACAAAACTAAAGAATCAAATATTGTTGATAACATGAGTGCAACACTATTGTAATAACACTTACTTATGAATTAACAACTCTTAACTTAAGTGTAATTGAGCATGTTATTCATTGATTGCCTTATAAATTATAGTTTTAATTGATATTTTAATAACATTTTCTAATGAAAATATTGCTTTACTTAGTTTTTGTTTAATAGAGATAATTAAATTTATCCAACATTAAATCATATTCAACTGTTTTTTATGAGAATTTGATCATTAATTTTAATTTATTTTGGGATTTTAAAAATGAAATTAATTATATAAATCTATAGTGATTTTCTTTTAAAAAGATGTCTATTTTTATTAGCATATTTGGACTAATTATGTAATACATGTAAAATTAAAATTCATTGCTTGTTAGCAAAGCATGCGATGCATTGTATTTGAGAAAAATGTGTTACTGTACTATAATATAGTATATCAATTGTTGCCATACGATAGACAGCCTTTTATTTCACAAACGATATGCCCGTTAAGATCAATACAATGCAATAAGAATTTGCATGAATTTACACCACAAAAGCCTACTTAACGCCA